TTAAAAGTTTCAAAATCCATTTTATATTCACAACACTTTCATGGCATAAATATTGCCATTACTTCCAACCAAATAATTCTCAACTGTTTTGGGATATCCGGGAATGAAATCCCATTTTCTTTCGCTAACCAGAGATTCGACGAGTTTTTCATTGTTTCCGTTCCGGAAGTCTTCGTCTCGATCTTCAAAGGCTTTGGAGACAGCGACGACCCAAAACACCAGCCCCCCTGACATCCCATTCCCCATAAAAACACTCATTATCTTTAACTCTATTATGTACCGGTAATGAATTTATTTAAAAATATTACCCTTTTTAACAACACGAATAATCTGTGGGAATGAATTCCATCGGATATGTCCCGGACATAGACAGCCTGCCATCACAACCGCATCGTATGTGTTGTCCTCAATGGGAAGTCTCGTATCTTTAGTGACGACAGAAGTGATGAAATTTGTGTAACACTTCTTCTGCTTCGCCATCTCAAGCATCTCTTTGGTCTGATCCAAGCCATCGATGTTTGTATAGCCATTGAGTTTGAGGAGATGTCCCACAGTTCCAGTTCCCGTCCCGATGTCCAAAATGCGACAATTTTTGGGTAGTTTTAGATTCACGAACTCATTGATCGCCAGTTCCGGGCCGTTATATTCCATAAACTTGACGTCCTTTTAGTTCATTGAAAAGGCAAATTTAATTAATTTAATTAGTAAAATATGAATTAATGAGAAAATGAGAAATCATTAATCTTGTTAAACCTTATCATAGTCTTCGGCCCACTTTTCGTACCAAACCCGTGTCTCTTCAGGAGGTCGGGGCTGAACCAATTCCGTCAAGTATTTCAATTTATCCTCTTTTTCTCGATTCTCCATTTCTATGAACTTTTTAAATGAAACCAAATTCTATGATTAAATTTTTGTAAAAATCTTCTCTATTTATAGGTAAGTCATTAGATTTTACAAATATTAATTATATTCATATTCGAACGCATTATTAGAAGCTATTTTAGTGTTAAATAAAATTGTAAAATATTCATAACGGGTATTTTTAATCGGGTTTAATACACATAATCTGTTATGTGTAATGTGTTAATAACTAATATGTAATAATACAGTGTATAAGATAAGAATATTGTTACGAACTTTTAAGTATAAATCATATAATATTTTTATTAAAAGTATAAAGTATCCTTGACATTTTTAATTTTTGGTTTCACATTATCTTTCTAAAAATTAGCAAGATGACATCCAGGCAATACAAAATTTTTATGAGATATAAAACGATAATCCAGGTATAAATTAACATTAAATCTTTTGTTCTAGATTATTATTTATTAATCTATGGTTAAATAAATGTTGAAGAAGTTTTGCATAAAATTAGATAATTATTGTTGTTTTAGTTATTTTTACAAAATAATATTTTCATTTATTCATTCTAAGTTATGATACTATATCTATTAAATTACCTGAAATAAAACATAATTAGTAATGAATATTTTAATAATATTCACCAATAAGGATTAACAGTAAAGTGGAATTAATGCATCCATAAAAGACCACTGTCATTTGAAGTGTTTTGACTTTTAAACAAATAAGGCAACCAACAATAATTGGTATTATTATATGAATTATCATAATTATTATGAAAACAGTGTATAATCGATATTCGGATGTTTTATTGAATATTCTAATAAATAATTTTTATCAGGATTAATGCACTAAGAGTTATACCAGATATTTTTAAAAACAACGATAACTTTATTTAACATTAATTACTTATGTTATACAAACAGATAAACTTCTTTAATTCAATTAAAGTTATACAGTAACTATTTAAAATTTATATGGATAAACTTCAAGGCTTTTTAAGGCTCTGGTTTTTAAATTCATTAATACAGAATCTATATCAATCTATATCTGTATATATAAATATAGATAAGAATTTAGTAATAACTTATTTCATAGAATCACAAAATATGTGCAATTCTTTAGACATTCTACAGATTCTGTAAAACAGAGGCTTTTGTAAAATTACTATTTCATTATACAATGCTTTTGGTCTATCATACTGTAGTGTAAACTTTTAATAATTTAATAGTTAAACAATTGCTAATTCAATACTTATTATTAATTTCAATGCCTCGACGTTTGCAATGTTTTCTTAATCCTGCATATTAGGGATATCATTTAAATAACATTAGCTATAAAATATTTACTTTTAGATTTTAGTTTTAAACTCTATAACATAATAAAGTAGTGCACATATGCACAGAATTTCAAGAATTATATTATTAAAAGCAATGAATAAGTGTTCAAAAAGTTTCCCAAATGTTTATTAAATAAATGGTTTAAATAAATTAGAAATTACAAAAAATTGTTTAAATATTAAATTCAATGAGCAATTTAATGTGAAATGCAAGTTAATCGTGATTCAAACTGACGAGGCA